AGTCCTTCCTTCCTGCATGTTTTTTTCACATGCTGAAGTGTGGATTATTTTCTATTAACCCTCTATTTCAGTTGAAGATGTCTACCCAGTGGGTCTCAGGGATTTGCCCAGGAAGAAACAGGGAGACAGCAATTGCATGAGGTCCTTCCTGCGCAGGCCATCCTGACCCTTCCACAGTGTTCTCCCTCCATCTCCCAGGAAGGCGGCCAGAGGGAGCTGGTGCTGGTTTAGGGCGGGCTTCACGGCAAGGCTAATGTTCTGTCAGTTCACACCGCGTGCTTTCTGCGGCTTTCAGCCAGTCTTTATGGATTGTTCATTGCCTGCACCATCATGGCTGCTAAATAGTTTTGGTATTATTCTTGGATCTGTTGTCTAACTTTTAAGTTGACAGTCAAAATGTGATGCGAATTAGATGAGAATTAAGATGACACACATACTCCGATTTGTTTGTTAGGATTGAGAGAAAGAGTAGGACATTGTTAGGATGATGGTGCATAGGAGGTAAGGGAGGTGTCACAGAGTGTGATGTAGAAACTCATGCGTCATATCCGTATTTTCACTCATTCTGCAAAAGTCAATTTTATATTTATTGTTGTAAATAAATATACGTTGTATGTGTTTTTACCGTCTTCAGGATTAACGCTCCCATTCATTGTCTATATTCTATGCCCTCTGTAAAGCAGCAGATATGCATTTTCCTTTCATCCCTGTGCAAGCTGACTAGAAAATGAATCCCCACGGTAGAAACTCGCTGCCCAACAAGTTAATAGAAAAATGCTGTTATTGCTGGCATAAATTAGGTTGCATACTTTGTATTGGTTAGAAGCATTTGCTGCAGGCAATTTTACACCATAAACGCCAAATTAACTGCTGTTGATTATGTTACTGATCATTCTTGCTATTTTATAACAATAATAAATAATTACATAAAAATCTCCATATACCAGATACAAAATAGAAAAACTTGAAACATCAGAAACTTGGGTGGAAGGTGGGAAAGCTGGGCGAACAAAAGCCTGTTTAATTCCGAGTTATCTGCAGTATAATTTATCTTGAGATCTGGTTCAGCCTTAAGTAGAATAATAGAATCTATGTATGATATTTTTGTTGTGTTTATACCTTTTTGGGTTCCTTGTGTTCTAATAGAGAAAAAACTTGTAAGATTCCTTAACAATCTATGGTTTGTATTTTTGCAGAAAATATGGTTTTAATCAGTGACATTTTAAAAGGCTTTTGTACAAATGTTCAATTTTGCAATTTTGTGGCATGTAAGTGGACAAATATTGGTAGTAAAACTACCAAATCTGCATAGTCTTTAATTCGAAGTGTGTCATTTAAAATTTATTGCAAATATATTTAGAAAATGATTATTGCTTGTGCTATATAATTTTAAAAGTGCCTGTCTATGCCATAAATTCAGCCTTCCCCAAAGTCAGACATGCCTCTTGTTTTGTTCAGCGACATATGATAGAAATTTTTCTTTACATGTTGTAACTACCGCCTTTAGACTTAAACATGGGTTATGGCAAAAAACAAAATTTGTCATTTAACAAATTTGTCTGAAATTTATCTTTTAGGTAGATTAAACTTTTAACTAAAGTGTCAGAATTATTTATTACAATTTCTACCACTAAGCAGTGTGTGCTTGTGTATCAGTTAATAAATGGTTCAAAATAAATAAATTCATAAAAATAGTGACAGTATATCTGGTTAAGACTTCCAAGGGTTTTAAGTAGTAGAAAATTACATCTTAGAATCAATAATTTGTGATTGTTATTATCTATGATTTCTCTTATCAACTGGGTTTATTTTTCCTTAAAATTTACTAATTCACCCTGTAGATTTCACATTAAATGATTTGAATTAATTTTTATGTATATGGTTACAAACTTTTGGGTGATATTTTAAAAATGTGTCAATAGATAATTCACGCCTGCCATGTGGATTAACCTCCAGGCATCTCAGTAACAAGAGTCAAGGATTTCTGCTGCATGTGGTTTAGAGTCTTGGGTTACTCACTTGTTTTTCAGTTCCCAGGTTGATTCTACACTTGTTTCCTGGGGCCACATGTGTTTCAAGCAGTCAACCAAAAAAGAAAAAAAAATCAAGTAAAGTTTGTCACCTGTGGCACTGTGTCTATGAACCTGGGTATGGAAAAAGCCACCAGTTTTATTGTTGCTTCCAGAGTCAACAGAAAAGCTTGCCATCACTTTAACCCACTAAATTAGCAGTAGAAAATCCTTCCTCAGCATGTGAAATTGTTGCATCAACCATGTCATTTTACCACTAAATTAGAAAGCAGATTGTAGACTCTTCCATGTTGACAATTTCCAAAAGAATTCCTATCTTTACATTTTAATAGTCTGAGTTTTTAACATTATGACCAAAGCGTAACAGCAGGAGAGCCAGTAAGGCATGATGGCGTGGAGCAGGAATTCAGGAGTCGGCCCTGGGAAGCACAGATGGACTGAAGTCAGGCTGAGCCACGCTGAAGCAACAATCATCCAGCACTTGCCTTAGGAATAAGGGGAAATTATTATGATGTGGAAAGTATTATTCCTAACGATTCTATCTTCACAGTGGCTAATCTGTTAAAGGATATTGCAGATGGTATCATTTTGCCTAAACTTCACAAATATAAATATATTTCAACCTATTTTTGAGAGTAATTCATTGGATTAGTATACTGCTAAAATTTAACTGGCATTAAAATGGAGCTAAGCTATGGAATAAAACGTGAGACTCTACACACACGCACAACACACACACACACAGTGAGTACACCACACACACATACATACACATACTACACACACACTACACACACCATAGACATTGCACATGCTACACATACCCACAAACTACACACATACACACACACACACACACACACACACACGTCTTCTCGAAGTAAGAGTTTAAAGGTCAAAACATACTTTCAAAGTTCTGAGGTCAAACATATTTCTGGGGTCATAACATAATTTTAAAACTGCCTTGACATTGAAACAAACTGTTTTACAGGTGTCAAAACAGGAACAGCCACTTCGATGTTCGAACAATAAGCCTATGACAGCCAAAACCTTGGAGTGGAAAGTCTGAATTTTTGGATTTCATTTGCTCTTTGCCCTCAAAAGGCCACAAGCAGGGAAAAAAGCAATGGAAATGTTTCCCAGTGCTATGAAAAGGGAGGCGTCTTGCTCATTTTAGGGCATTAAAAAAAATCTTTCCACCGTTTTTATTTTTCTATTTTCCTGCGTCTTCGACATCATCGAAGTAGGGTTTCTGTTTCCATCATTTTGAGACAAGCACTCACTGTACTGTCTTCTGTCCTCTGGCAGAGATAATGTATCTGGGTTTCCTTAGTGATATTTTAAACACATTTTTTCTGTCCTCCCATACAGAGCGCATACTTTTGGTGGAATTCCTGTTGTGTGGGAGACCAGCTTAGTTCCATTCACACACTCACACTCCCAGATGTGGCCCCCTGGTCTTATTCCTATCTCACTGTTTCAACAGTCAGACGTTTGTTCTTCAGGCTGCTCTCTGCAATATCCTAGTCAGACAACCGCAGGGAGCCTTTGTGCATTTATTTATTTATTTGCCTGGTATGCTTCAGTGTTTTGGGGGCTTTTCTTCCATCTGAGGAAGTTAAAACTCTGCAAAAGTTTGGCTCCAGAAAAAGGGAGCCCAACTGCCCTGTGATTCCTTTAATTGTGTAAATGAGAGATGGCAGGTGGTGGGGCAGGGCTGGTGGAAGAAAAAGAAATAGAATTCACTTGGCATCCAGGATTGTCACTTATCGTGCCCCTGTATTGAAAAGCCACAAAATGAGACTGAAAAGTTGGGCATCAGAAAGAGGATTATGTCTATTTTCACCACCCTTATACTTTGCCGCCACAGGTTAGTTTAATTAACCTGTGAGACAAAGTGTTGAACCCTCTGAAAAGATAGGGGCTTTCAGAGGTGCCTTAGAGGCAAGAAACACAACAATATTTATATTTCTTTTTGGCTGAGGAAGGTCACTGTGGTGACAGTTTCAGGAGGACACCTGCATTCTTCTCTTTTGTCAACAGGACTCGGAATATAAACAAAACATGCAGTCACTTCCCACCAGGATGTATCCTTCTGGATGTCAGCACACGTGCAAGATGACAATTTCAGGCAAGAATTTTTTCCTCTAATCTATGACTTGATCACTCGGGTGTCTGGGAGTGGGTTAGAGAACATATCTGAAGTTAAAGCTTGAATGCTTTTCAGTGTGACTGGAGGTGAGGGCAGGGGTCCGGGAGACCCAGACAGCAGTTGCTCAGCTCAGCACCTAAGTGCTCCCTGTTCTCAGGAGGAGTAACAGAAAGCTTAGGGGAAGAAACGGCTCCAGAGAAGACGCGTGCTTAGAAATGAACACTGTAAATGTTACTCAGCATACAATTGAAGGAAAGGCATCACTCACAGGAAGTGATCACAATTCTTTATTATCTGGGCCTTGTCACTAAGGAAACACTCGCTGAGTAGAAGAAACCAGTCCTCTTTGAGTTTAGGTTAGTTATGATGGCTCTGTGTTTGCTTCATTCACAATAATTACACTTAAAAAGTTTACAGTCCTCAAGACAAAAAACATGTCCACACCCTTGAATTTGTTTTAGTTATATGTGAGGTCAATGTTATCCATCTTCATTTATCAGATAAAGAAACTGAAAACCATAGTCTGTCATAAAATAATCCCAATTCCGATCTTCAAGAATTCAAGTTTTATTGTCCTATTGTACTAGAGCTGTTTTTGTAAAACACACGACTTTAATCTTTCAGACAAAATCATGAAAACATAAACTTATCACGCACAACAGCCTGACATGCAATGCAGTGTAGTCTAGGATATAGGCACTAGTGTCAAATTTTAATCAAAAACCAGCTAAATTTGTTTTTAAAAAGATTTTTTCCTGGATCTGGAAAAGGAAGTGCTTTTCTGGCATAAAACAAAGAATATAAGGTAGAATTCAGACCTTACGTGTCTGTAGGAGATTTTAACGTGAATGAATTTCACATGCTTTTAAAGCTTTCTTCTCCTTCTTCTTCTATTTTTAATCATCTTAGCAGCCGTTGTTTATTTTCTGGAGAGGAGTGGTTTTTATTTACATTGGAAAATCCATCGTTTTTGCATAGGTTGTCTTTCATTCTTGGTGAGGCACTGAGAAAGGAGAAAAACAAAACTTTAGAAACAGAGCAATGGTATAATTGATTGAATGTTACGTGAACTGTCAAGATTAGAACTTTCCCATACTATCTTAGGAATAAAAATATGTTCTGGTTAGTAATCCTCACCAAGTTTGGAAGGTTAGAGGTGACTCAGCCTCCATGAATGTGGTCTGGTCTTATTTTAAGAAGGGCTTCTGAGTCATGTGGAGTTGTGTCAAACTATGTGTTATGTTATGTTATTTTAAAAAGATAGCTTGTAGAGAGGAAATTGAACTATCTTTTTTCAAAAAACTCTGCCCTTTAATAGAAGAAAAGGGCAAGTTATTTCCCACAAATCTCACTTACTCTATGTAATGTACCCCAGGATGTATTTTTACCACAGATATATTCTCAAAGTAGTTTGGCAAGACCTTACTTAAAGTACTTTGAATTTGAGACTTGAATTGTTTTTGCTAAATATTTACGCTTAGATGCAGTTGAATGCATTGCTCATAACTGAATAAATTTGCCATTGATTTATTATTATCTTGATGGTTCAGCTATTCAAATCGATAGCTACACAGATACAGGTACTATTTTTATCAATATTCAAAATGCATACTGCTAAGTGAACTTCAATTTTCTCAACTCAGAAAAGTAGCAGTAGAACAAATCTTGCCTATATTCCTGAGTTGCAATAACATATAATAAAATCCTTAAAAAAGTACATCAGCTAATGAATGGGTTTGTGATGGCTCAGGTTGACTGGTGATGTCTGGCTTACAATTGAGTATGAAGTCTGCACTGTGGCTCAGCTGAGGGCAAGACACATCCAGGTGGGTGAGCAGGTCTGCTATGGGAACTCACTCTTGCATTCTAATTTCCCTAAGTATTTGGGGATGTTTCTCTATGGTATACCAAGAACATTCTGACATTTTAACCTCATTTCATATAGGTCTCCTCTGAGTCCATGATTCAGCCAACCAATTGAGAAAATTATAGTGCTATTCCTAGCCCCTCAAGTTAAGACACTGAATCAATAAATCCCCATCAAGACATACAGCGTGATACAATTGTCTATTCTTTCCATCTTAATCCCACATCCTTAAGATACATTGGGAGGCCGAGGTGGGTGGATCACGAGGTCAAGAGATCGAGACCATCCTGGTCAACATGGTGAAACCCTGTCTCTACTAAAAATACGAAAAATTAGCTGGGCATGGTGGCGCATGACTGTAATCCCAGCTACTCAGGAGGCTGAGGCAGGAGAATTGTCTGAACCCAGGAGGTGGAGGTTGCAGTGAGCCAAGATTGCGCCATTGCACTCCAGCCTGGGTAACAAGAGCGAAACTCTGTCTCAAAAAAAAAAAAAAAAAAAGATACATTGTCACTCTTATTTCCCAGGTTTTGTTTCTATTAGTTGGCAAATCATGCAACTGTTTGGATGTGTATCATATCCCATCACAAGTTTGAGACTTAAATCAACTCTGGGTCTAGAAGGAAGGAGGAGTGGGAGTAGAACTTAATGAAGATTAGCAGGGCTCTCAATGCAAGTGCCAATGGGTGACAGTGGGCATTAGAGATTCCTCAAGCCAAGAGAGACTGACGTCGTCAGGCAGGGCTGCGGACTGCTTCTACTGGCCAAGAAGGCAAAGAAGGCTCTAGGTTTCCGGATTCATTAGAATTTGCTCATATATTCCATTCCCAAACCTCAGAATCCCACTCCTTCCCAGTGAATGGCCTGAATTTAATAAAGGAGACTCTATGAGTCTTGGATTTCAATTTTGTCTGTAATTCAGCCACCCACAGGATGAGACTTTGGGTTTCCTTTTCAAAAACCTTGGTTCTCTGGCTACAGGACATAGGATTTCTTTAAGAACCAATCTGCAAGCTTTCAGGATCCTTATATAGAAGTCGATCTTGGTATTTAAAGCCCTAATTCATTATTTCCCTCCCAGCTTCTCCAGTGTAGAACCAGCTACCCGATTAATTCTGCTCCTCGTTTTCATTAAAATGGGCAAACCAGTTTCTCCAGTGTAGAACCAGCTACCCGATTAATTCTGCTCCTCGTTTTCATTAAAATGGGCAAACTCGATAAATTCCTGGTCACTCAGATGGGCACTTAATAAAAGGCACATAAACGTGATAATTTGAGTTTCTTTTCTTTCTTTCTCTTTCTTTTTTTTCTTTCTTTCTCTTTCTTTCTTTCCTTTCTTTTCTTTCTTCCTTTCTCCCTTTCAACTTTCTCTTTGCCTGATGCTAGGAACTACTTATCCCTCTTTTGCCACTGGGGATAGAGTAATTAGTGCCTTTAAATCTAATTAGATCAGAAAACCAGTTCCACACACACACACACACACACACACACACACACACCTCAAAACCTGTATCCTTAAGATTCCACCCCTCTGAAACCAACCTTAGTACCAAATTCTGTGTGAGTCAGGTTTAAACCAGAAAGATAGCAACTCTACAAATTTGCCTTCAGGTATTTGACTTACACAACATTGGGAGCTGGTTAAAGCATCTCTGGAGAGCGACGTTTGTGTCTAATGCTGGACTTTGAAGTTCACAGACTAGACACCTGGGAAGAAAACATGGGTATAGAGTGGAGAAGGAAAGCTGAGCAGCATCCCAGAAGCACAAGCTGAAGCCCGAAGGGCAGACCGAGCTCATGTCGGTTCTCATCGCCTCTGCCTTTGCTTAGGTGGGTGCTCTGCAGAGAACGGGACTCTTAGTGATGGAGCTAAACACTCATATATCTAGCCCCGGAGTTAAATAAACTTCAAAAGGAGGCAACTACAAGTTCAGCTGGTGCCTCCCATCAATATCTGCAGGTAAATGACAATGTATGTGAGATTATTTTTTTTAAAGGCAGTCTGGGTAATACATTAAAACCTCATCTCTTCAAAAATGTAAAAATTAGCTGAGTGTGGTGATGCATGTCTGTAGTTCCAGCTACTCCGGAGGCTAAGGTGGGAGGATGACTTGAGCCCAGGAGGCAGAGGCTGCAGTGAATTGAAATTGTACCACTGCACTCCAGCCTGGGCAACAGAGCAAGACCATATATATATATATATATATATATGAAGGAAAGGCTGCTCCTCCATTTCCCCAGGCTATATCTTCCACAGCAGTGGCTAAAAACACTCAGAACATATAAGAAAGGCAATCCTTGGGAATGTAATTCATTCCAGCCTAGGTGAGACCTTACAAAGCTATCACATCACTCTGCTTTTATTTTCCATTTTCTTTTGCAACTTTTTGTCTTTCTTTGCCTTCCAAACTTTCCCATTGCAGTGCAGAGTATATTTTTGTTTTTCTTCACATTTATTTTTAGGATGCAGCTATAGGGGACATTGATTAAATTTCTGAGGACTTTCTTCTAAGGTTTTCTAATTGCTTCAGCAAAACTGCTTAATGGCTATTTTTAAGTCTGCTAGAGGCATTCTTAAAAACCCTGCACACTGCCATCAAATTCCACTTGCTCTCCCACAAAGGTTTTCAGAATATTTCTTTTCCATATCATCACCATCCTCAACAGCGTCCTCGTTGAGTAAAACACGGCACATGTGGCAATGAGCTGCACGTCCAAGTTTCTCTACTGTCCTTCTACGATGAATACAATTTCACTGTCAAGTAAGTAATGTAGGGGTCCTTGTCTGTTTCCTGCTCTGATCTCAGGGGTACTCATTACATGATGAGTAACAGAAAAGGATGAGATGAATCATTGCACTAACACAATTTAATTTTTAGTTTAATTTTGGATGCCAGTGCTTTACTGGCTTGGGATTGAGAGACCACAGAAATCATGAAATTTGAGGTTAGAGAAGCTCAGGTTTCCCATTGAAGATATGGGAGAAAAAGAAACCTAAAAAGAAAGAAGCTGGACAAGCACGGTTCCATGTACACTGGGTTTTCCCTTACACTGCTCCTGTTTTGAGAATGAACACACGCATGGGTAAAGCAAGGGAGAGGGCATAGAGCAACTGTCTAAATTATGATCAAATAAAAATGCAACATTGCTTGTTCAGGACTGACAAGTAAATACAGTGGGCTCAGCATTGCTTCTCACTGCCAGCATTTTGATGAAGAAAGGATATTTAAAAATCTGCTTCTACGAAGTTACAGTTTCACACAGATTTATGTTGCCAACTTTCACTTGACGGAAACTTTGCAGACACAATGCAGAACACCTTCTCCACAAACAGATTAGTTTGACTTCAATGTGTTTATTTAGGGAAAGGCAAAAGAAAGAAAAAAAAAATACAAAAAGGAAGACCCACACAGCAAGTCCCAAGCTGTGTGTTCAGAAGATGATTTTGAGTGGTGGCATGAAGAAGGTTTGATAAGACATTTACCTTTCAAACATTCAGCACCTCCGCATTCTATGACGGAAATCTCTCTCCCTTACACTCGTCAGCTCGTTCTGACCTGGACCATCCTCATTAATCAACGCACCTGCATCTTCCCCACTTAGTGAGATTCCCAAATTCTGCAAGTCACATTCAAAGAACATATCACATACAAAGAACAGAAGCTTATTTGTTAATTTCACGCTGGTTCAAACTTCCCCTTAATACCCAATCTGGAAATCAGGACTGCTCCTATGGGGGTATGGAGGCAGCAAACCAACTTGCCATGTATGTACCTATGCAACAAGCCTGCATGATGTGCACGTGTACCCCGGTACCCAAAATACAATTAAAAATAAAAAATAAAAGACTGATTCTAAATGTTAAAGCGTGTTCAGGAAACATTGTCTCATTCATCAACTCAGATTTTCTTCTGGGATCCCGAGCAAGGAGGAGCCTGGGCCCTGTGCACAGTGCCTTCTCCTAGGTCACACTCCTTGGGTGTTCCTGAAGATGTTCCTTGATATTCTGGGTGCTGGACACCCTCGTGATTCCTTTGAGAACTTCATGCTGAAGCCAGAAGGGTTTTTCAAGATAAAAATTGTCTTTACATGACTCTCCACCATTCTAAAATCCTTCTGTTTTTGCTTCCCTCTTTTTATTTTTTTTCTTGAGACAGTCTCACTCTGTCACCCAGATTGGAGTGCAGTGGCACAATCTCAGCTCACTGCAACCTCTGCCTCTCAGGTTGAAGTGATTCTCCTGCCTCAGCCTCCCAAGTAGCTGGGATTACAGGTGCCAGAAAACATGCTTGGCTAACTTTTGCATTTTTAGACAGACAGGGTTTCACCATATTGTCCAGGCTGATCTCAAACACCTGAC